AACGAAACCAAGCTTTAGTTTCGGCCGCTTCGCTCACGTTTAATAAATAAATAAATAAATCAAATAAATAAAACTAATTAGCTATCGGGGAATCGCTCAGGTAGGCTGGGGAGCTGGTGTAAGCATTCTTCTGGCTACATTTGGGGCCCTGTATATGTTTAGTGCAGGTCTACCATCCTTGAGGTGCCACAAGGATGGTAGCCTTCAAAGGCTGGGAAGACCCCGTTTCCCTATTAAAAACATCGTCTCGGTCAGAATCTCCCTACCTCGGGTGCCTTTAATCTCACAACGCTCCTTGGGGAGCAAGGGATGTGAACTGGAGGGTACTGTACTTATTTCTTCAACAAAAACGAAGGAGGTTCTGCTGTAAAGGAGAATGGCTGTTGATTTTTTAGAATTTGCACTCCAGATTTTAAAAGATTTGCAAATTCTCTCATTCTACTTTAAAAAGTTAAAAGTAGGACAAAGCTTAACACTAAACCCCTCAGAATTGCTGAAAGTCGTAGATTTCCTAATAACTATCTTTCTGAATATTTTGGATTGTCACTGTGGAATATGCACCAGGGTATTCACATTGTGAATAGACAGTGATCATTCCATAGAATGATAAATAATGGCAGGCAATATCCCTTTAGCCATTTCTTACATCACACCAAGTGGATTTTATTAAAAGCAATAAAATAGAAACAAATGTAAGGTTCAGCATTACATAGAATGCAAGGAGGAAATGGCTACCTGAAATAGAATTTCTTCACCATATTGCATAGTAAGCAGAGATGCCAGTTAGCCCCAAGGCAAAGAATTCCAAGGCTTTGATGTTTAGATTGTGCAGCAAAAGTTAAATCATTGTCATTGTCAAACTGCAGAACAGTAAGGAATCTTGTGGATCACTGAATCCAGCCCAGGTCAAAGAGGCACAGTGGGGAATTGAACTCCCAACCTTTGGGTCTGCAGCCAGATTAAACTGCTGAACTATCCAGCAGTCCTCTTGGTTAAGTTCCTTGCATAAAAATATTTTGAATTTGAAGGTAGTTGTAGAAATAATAGCATGTGAAGTAAAGTGTTTCTCACTGTGAATGCAGTATGTGTCCACTGGTACTGAAGAGTAGGTCTTGCCTCCAAGTTATGACATTTTATCCTCTGCTTCCAAAGAAGAACATATTCTGTTCTTTATGGTTCCTCCTTTTCACCTCTTCCTCAGGTCTTTGCTGATAGTGTTATTAGGTAATGTAGTAAGGTATATTTATTACTTACAGTTTTATGTAAGTCTTTCTGTAGGATCATTTGCACCTTAAGCAATTCATAAAGTAGGGTAACTGAGTTGTTTAAGCTGTTTAAGCTTAAGTATACTTAACATCCCTAATAGGGTAAATATGCACATTTTGTATAAACAAATTGTAAAGTAAATACAAATACTTGTTGAAAGAGTAGATTAAATTTTTGTTGGTTGTTGTGGGTTTTTCAGGCTCTTTGGCCATGTTCTGAAGGTTGTTCTTCCTAACATTTTGCCAGTCTCTGTGGCCAGCATCTTCAGAGGACAGGAGTCAGAACTCTGTCCTCTCAGTCCACAGAGACTGGCGAAACATTAGGAAGAACAACATTCAGAACATGGCCAAAGAGCCCGAAAAACCCACAACAGCCATCAGATCCCGGCGGTGAAAGCCTTCCAGAATACATTAAATTTTTGTTGTTGTTTTCTGCTTAATTTGGAAAACAGAAAGCTTTTGGATAACGTTTTGTCTTAGTATATTATTCTGGGGCTTGTTGAAACAAAGAAGTCAATATCTAAGGTCATGTGATCTTGTTGAATCTTTATTAGATTATTGTAGGGTATCAGAGAAAGAAGGCTCTGAAAGTTGTATGTAAGGCTTTAAAAATTTCAAATACACTAAAACCAGGTGCCTGTTTGCCATTGCAATTAACCACATATCACTCATGTCAATCACTGATTCTCTGTTTTTTTAAATGTGTTTCTTTAGACACATTCTGGCTAAAATCTTGTTGCTTAGCTTAGTAAATTGTAGCTAGAGTAGGCTGTTGAATCAGTGAAATTTATGAAGGATGTGGCTTACCAAATCCCTACTAATTCGGTGGGCTTATTCTGGTTGTGATTTACTATGTAGGCAGTGGGATTTTAGCTGCTGCTTCTGATTCATTAACCTGATGCCTTTTAGAAGAAAGTATGATCTAGAAAGCGCTCCATCACATTATTTATTCCTTTGTGCCAATTGACTTTACTGCCAAGTAGGTAGAAAGAAGCATGGAAATGACATGAAGACTGAGGTGATTTGTGCTTTAGTCAGTTTAGAGATTGTGTAATAACACTTCTAGCATATTATGGGTATAATAAAGAAATGATTTCCCATGAGGAGAAAGGACTGTGCATTAACCTAAGCTTGGGTTTTCTTCCCTGCAAAACATATTTGCTTTTCAGAAATCTAAGAAGGAGAAGCTGAAAAAACAACAGTTACTGCTGGAAGAAAATGGACTGTCTGATTCAGAGTTGGAGCCTCCCAAACCAAAGAAAATGAAGAAGAAGCAGGAAATGGTTGATGATATTGAAACTGCAGAACATGAGACAACATTCCCTGCAACTAATGGGACTAGCCACTTGAAGAAAAAGCATAGTAACTCTGAAGAATCAAATACAGAGTGTGAAAGTGACCAAGATCAGGTAAAATGATGCCTCATGACATTTCATTTTATCTCCACAATTTGTTTTATTTGTTTTCCTAGAAGGAACTTAAAACTAATCTTGAGTCTCAAGTTTTTAACATCACACTTGACTCCTGTGGTGGGAAAGGTTGATAAAATATCATATGGCAAGGACAGAGTCATAATCATACATAATCATAACCATATTTTCAAGCAGAATTCAACTGTTAGTCCATTCTATCTTAAATTAATGTACAGTTTAGGACGTGGGTATTCGAAGAAATATCTTATCATATATCAGCTTCTGTGTACTGAGATAATCTGCAAAGGCTCTTCTTCGTGTGTCCTTCTGCTTACAGTGTGGTGGTTGGCAACCAGAGAGACAGCCATCTTGCTAGTACCACCATGTTTTATGGAAATGGTTCAGAGAAGCTTGCCTAGTGCTAGTTTTACTAAGTACATGGTGACAAGAAATATTCTTAACACAACATCTTCTGCTTTGTTAAAGCTATCTCATTCTGTATTTATTTCCAGCTCACTGTATACAACAGAGCAAGTCCCACACTGGGACTGCCAAAAACACGGACGCACGTGCGCGCGCGCACACACACACACACACACACACATCCAAAAACAAACCACACAAACATACTCCCCCAGTACAAACCCACCCTCCAAACCCTGGGAGCTCCCCTGCCGCCATCAGAGACCTCCTGGGAGTCCGATCGCGGCGGCGGAAAAGGGCAGGAAATTTAAAATTGCTCCCCCACCACTGCAGTCGGACCCCCAGGAGGTCTCCGATGACGGTGATGAAGCCCTGAGAGCTTCCCCGCCGCCATCAGAGACCTCCTGGGGGTCCCTTTTCCTAACCATTGGGGCGAAAGAGCAACCTCTTTGCCACCAATGGAATGGAATGAAAAAAGGCAGGGGAAATTTGAATTCCCCGCCCTTTTCCCCTGCCTTTTTTCGTTTGTAGGTTGAGGCTCCTTTTGCAAGTTAAAGTAGATTTTTGTGAACAGAGCCGTTTGTAAGTCGAAAACTTCATAGGTAGCGACGTTCGTAAATCAAGGTCCCACTGTACATGGCAGCTTTAGATGTCTAAAATATGAGAAAAATCAAATTGCAGAGATATAGTATCTCTCTGTATTAAGAGTTTAAAAGAGTAATTTTAAGAGTACAGTGGTGCCCCGCATAGCGACGATAATCCATTCCGGATAA